TGCTTTTCTGCCCTCATTGGCTCTTAGCCCAGCTACCTCACTTCCTCTTCCTACACAGCTCTGTCACTGTCTATCTGTACAGACCTTCAGGTCTCTATGGTTGGTACTGGGATTAAAGGTGTGTGTAACCACACTTGGCTCTGTTCCTTAGTGTGGCCTTGAACACACAGAGATCCTGCCTACTAAGGGATTAAGGGCATGTGCTGCCTGATTTCTTTGTTTACTTAAAATGGCTGGCCTTTCTACCCACCCCCTTCTCCAGGCAAGCTTTATTTATTAATGCAAAAATAAAATATCACCACATATCATATTTGTGACAAGTGACTTATCCAAAGGAATTGGTTCTGGTCTGGAGTGGCCCCAGCCCTGTGACTCTAGGTCCCCTAGAACTCAGCTGGGGGACCTAAACATTCTGAGCCCCACCAGGTAAGTGGACTTCCCCCACACGGAAACTGGGATGTGTTTCTGTGAAGCACTAAATGGGCAGACACACACACACACACACACACACACACACACACACACACACACACACACACCACTTGAGGACCATCAATGCTGGACCTTCCTCTGGGGGTCTGTTTCCTGCAGCCAAGGGAGACTGACACCCCTGGGACACATACTGCCCAGCAGAGCTCTGTGAACTTAAGCAGGCAGGATGAATGTCAACTTCATCCCTATCAAGGACTCACAGACACAGTAAACAATGACTTTGGGGAACTCTCAGAGGTCTAGATAAATGCAGCTGGCTAGGATTTTTATTTGCCCAAAATATTTTGATGCCATATTTTGCAAATACATTTTAATGATTCCAGAATTTCCATAAATTTTACTTCTTTGGATCCATCTCAAAGCTCAGAGCAGGACAGGAATACTCTTCTGTGTTATACTCCTTCCAGAAGCTTATGAGCCATAGACCACTGTCTGAATCTTCCTGCCCAGAGGAGCAAAGTTGAAAGACTTATCTGTCACCTCTTCAAGTCCCTACCCACCTCCTCTCTACGCACTCTAGGCAGCCAGCTCTCAGGTACAGCTCACAGGGAGGGCCTCCCAAGGCAAAGGAGTATCTGAGCCAGACAGGGCAGACCTGACCATTTGTTGGGTTTGGGAGCCTCACCTAAGAACCAAGGTTAGCAATGATTGTGGGGAGGTTGGCAGTGTGCACAGCAGCATGTGAGAATGTGTGCAGGAGTAATTAATGAGGCATGAGCACGGGCGTGAGAGGAAGTGGGCAGGCTCGGCCTCTAACACCCATGTGCATGTGGGCGCACACCTTTGATCCCAGCACTTGGGAGGCAGAGGCAGGCAGATCTCTGTGAGTTTGAGGCTAGCCTGGTCTACAGAGTGAGTTCCAGGACAGCCAGGGTTACACATAGAAACCCTGTCTTTAAAAACAAACAGACCCAATGGGCAAAGCAGAAACGAAATCCCTATAGAGATTCCCTCCCTCTCACCTGCACATAGAATCTAAGATCTAGAAGGTGGGGTTCCAGGGCAGCTGGAGGAGTTGGGTCATGCTGTCAGGGCAGACACACAGAGGCCCGGGCAGAGAAGATGGTAAAGAACAGTTAGTCAGTGCCAGCGCAGAAAAACCAGCTGGGCAGACAGCCTCATCACATGTGCCCTGTGCCCTGGCATGCATATGAGCCTGTGTACAGTTGAGCATGTGGCTGCATGTGCCAAAGTGTCTGCCTGTTCCCAGACCTGCCCAACCAGGGCCCTGCCCATGGGAATGATTCCAGCAGGCAGCGTTACCATGGGCAGCCTCCTGTCAAAGCTGATGTCGTGAATGACTGAAGAAGACAGTAGCCTTTTCAGGTAGGGCCACACACGTACACAGATACACCAAATCATACCCATGAGGCTGTGCATGCGTGGACAACCCAGTGTGTGTGTGGTGGTGGTGGGGCATAAAATATGAGGCCCTACCTAAGGAGCTCCTGTCATGAAATCAGCCCCCTGTCTCTCTGGTCTTTCAGGACTCAAAGCCACTCCTGGGCTGAGGGCAGATGGGGGCCATTCCTTCTGCTCAGGAGTTATTCCTTCACAATAGGGGTACAGGGTAGGGCTATGTCCTCTCCCAACTCAGGGTTTTCAGGTAGCTGTTCTTGTACCCAAGTTCCCTGGGTAGAGAAGATCAGGAATTTTGGAGGTAGTGGGGGAAAGGTGTACCCTCCTCCTGGGTTTCTAGATTTCAAGAATATTCCATCTTGGATCCCAGAATTATCCAACACTTCCTGAATGATTTATAGTAAGTCTCCTCCCAGGCCTGTGTTCATCAGCCTGGCTGTCTTTTCTTTGTCAGGGGCCACCAATCACTCTACCTTTCCATCTCCGAGACTGGATGCCAACAGAGCACAGCACTCTGCTTCCTGGTTTCCGTCCTCTCCAGACCCTCACATTCCCGAGGACTTTTCTGTTAACCTCTGAGGAAAGCTAAACAGACATGTCAGTCATGGCAACTGGGTGGAATGGAGACAAGCCTGGACCCTCTGTGGCTGTCAGCTAGGCCCAGGAGCTGGTAAGTAGAGGTGCCTAGTGCCATGAACAGCGTGACATGGAAAGGAACTCACAATACTCAGCCACCAGGCGGCAAGCTGCACCTGCCTGACCACTGACCCATTTCTGGGCCCTTATTCTTGGGCATGAGTGTCTTTATAGGTAGGATGTGGCACAGAAGTCCCACCTGGGGTCAGGTAGAGGGCATCTCTGGGGGTGTATGCAGAGGGGGAAGATGGTTAGAAAGCCCCTGGACCCTGCATTGAATGGGAAGAATCTGTGATGGGGGCAGTAGATCATGGTAAGTGGCTGGATCATGATACTGAGGGTGAGCAGTTGACCCCTTAGGAATGACGTCGTGCCCCGAATCTCAAGCATGCAGCCATGCTTTGTTACATAAGCTAACAGATTCCCTTCTGTTGCTAAAGCTGCCTTGAGTTCTCCCTTCAACCCACAGACATGCTCTAGTTACGTGATACTTATTCCTTGCACAAGAAGTTATCAGTGAGTGGGAACTGGAGAGATGGCTAGGCAGTTAAGAGAACTGGTTGCTCTTCCAGAGGACCTGGGTTCCAATCCCAGCACCCAATGGTGGCTCACAACCACCTGTAACTCCAGTTCCAGGGGATATGACACCCTCTTCTGGACTCTTCAGACACCAGGCACACACATGGTACACAGAAAGACATGTAGATAAAACACCTATGCACATAAATTAAAAATAAATCTTTTTTTTTTTTTTTTTTTTGGTTTTTTGAGACAGGGTTTCTCTGTGTAGCTTTGCACATTTCCTGGATCTCGCTCTGTAACCCAGGCTGGCCTCGAACTCACAAAGATCCGCCTGCCTCTGCCTCCCAAGTGCTGGGATCAAAGGCGTGCGCCACCACCGCCCAGCAAAAATAAATCTTTTTATAAAGTCCTCAGTGCCTCAGGTTTCCCTGCAGGTTGAATTCCAAGCGCAGTCTGGCTGTCTGGAACCAGCCTCTTCCTCCGTCATCACGCAGCCTTCTCTGTGCGCACTGGATGCAGAAACCCACTAGCTCAGAAAACTGAAGCCCCTAAAAATGACTTCGAGGAACATCTCGGTGCTGACAGAAAAACCAGCTCTCCTCTGTGCCATCCATGATTATCCCTCTGCCTTTCATTAGGCCTAAGCCTGCAATACTGAAGCACAGAGATTTAGTGTGGGTGAGGCATGGTCTGCTTAGGAGTGGGGCTTCTTGGAATGTCCTGCAGAACCTTGGCCTGTGCCCACTAGGAGAGAAGGGCTAGAGAAACCTCACCCAAGTCCAAAAGAATCCCTGAGACACAGACCCGAGGGCAGGCATCGCTGTGCAACCACCTGACCAGCCACCAGGAGTCTCTCTCTGTTCAGAAACTACTTCCTCCTCTCCCAAGAAGAGAATCAGCACCTTCAGGCTCTGCTCCTGAAGGAGCTAGGAGACCTGTGAAGGCAGACTCAGAAAAAGACAATTACCAAGAGGCAGCACAAAGGACACACAAAACTGAGGGCACACGGGACCAACAAACAGCCTGGGACAGAGATTCAAGGATGGAGAGCAGGCTGCGAGTGCCAGACCTAGGCCATCTCCAACAGGCTTCAACCCTCGGCTTGGGTACCCAAGCCACAGGCTGGGAGGCCGTTTCTTCCTTGCTCACCTCTCAGATTTGTTCTCTCTCCCCCCACAGGATGTCTAGAGTCTGTTCGGTCCTCTCTGTCCACTGCAGCCACCAGTTCCCTTCTGAATGGGTTCCTCTAACTTTCACACTGCTGCTCACCAACTGTTAGCTGGCAGGAATCTCCTGGACGTGTGTCTGCTCAGCATTCCCACACTCCTTCCCTCTAAACCACTCCGTCTCCTGTGTGGTAAGGCTTTGCTTGACCATACCCTGTCCATCACCAGACCCTCATCCCAAAGCCCAGTTTCTTCCGACGCTCCTCACTCACTACTACTCTCCATACACACTAAGAGCTCACCACCATACTACCTTAGGGCTCTCCAAGACCGGAGGCCAGGCCGCCCTCACCAGTGCTTCTCATCTGTCTTCCCATCTGCTCCCGTGCATGGCTCTCAAGCCTGAACTGCTCCTGTGCATGGCTCCCAGGCATGGCTCCCAGGCCGGAGCTGCTCCCGTGCATGGCTCCCAGGCCGGAGCTGCTCCCGTGCATGACTCCCAGGCCTGAGCTGCTCCTGTGCACAGCCCCCAGGGCCAGCTCACCAGTTCTAGCCTCATGGGTGTTGGTATTCTAATCTTGATCTTTCACTCCATGCAGTCCTCTTTCTGAGGTCGTGGTCTTGCTACATTTTCCACGCCCCTGTTTTTGTTGGTGGTGTTTCATTTGTTTGTCTTTTTCAGTCTTTCCCACTAGTTTCCCCCAAAGAAGCCTGGGGTAGTGGTGCACACCTTTCATGTCAGCACGTGGGAGACAGAGGCAGGAGAATCTCTCTAAGTGCCAGGCCAGCTAGGGTTACATCTTGAGGCCCTGTCTTAAAGAAAGAAAGATCGATGATGACCACTGGTGGCCTATGATTCCTGGATTGTGACGACCTCTGGAAGTCAGAGGTCTGTATTATAAAATACTTAGATACATATGAGATCCTAACAGCAGATATGAGTGATAGTCTGCTTTTGCAGTTAGATAAAAAGTGGTAAGGCATTTTTAAATTTGATATGACTCCAGAGGATGAGTACTAATCATATATACTAAAACAAAGTTTTTTCTGACTGTACATTTGAGGTTGCCATATGAATGTTCTTGGTAGGGTCAAAGCCATTATCATTGGTTTTGTCAAGAAGAGCATGGAATAGTATAATGCACACTTAGATGAGAATTAAGAAGCGGAAGGACAAGCAGACAGATTGCACGGATGAGTGAACACAATGTCAATCTTTTTATAATCTCTTCCTTGTGCTCTTAGAATGGATACCCCTAGGCTGATTTACACACTCTCCCTTGGTCATGAGCTTCTTGACCAGCTCTTTGTGTCTGTCAATATAGACGCAGTGTGAGTATAGTCCCTGTCTTTGTGTTGGATTTGGGTGCTTTGCAAAGCCTTTCACTGTGTTGATAAAGGACCACTATCAGATGGGAAGAGCAGCTGTCTCTAAAGGGTTAATACGGCACATGTACAAAAAAACAAAAATTTTGCTAAATTAAGAATATGTGGCCCAGTGCACCACTGCATCTGCCTCCTCGGCCCGGGTTCTTAAAGTACCCACGAGACACGAGGAAAGACGGGCCAGCAGCAGAGCAGAGGGGGGGCTAGGAACCCAAGGCTGCCTGTGTCTCCTGAGGGAGGTGGGCCGACTGGGGAACTGTAGCTCATTGCTCCACACACTCCCCACATCCTCCACCAACTCCTGCCCTTTCTTATGCTTCAGGATACTCAGCTGTGTGAGTCCGGAGTCAGACCATGTCCCCGGTGCCCTCACCTCAGTGGCAGACACATGCTTCCTTCCCCTGATGTGTAGCAGTCGCTGGACACTGTACATGTTGGTCTCCACATGCTTGAGAGCAGAGGCTTGGCCTCCCTTCCTGTAGCTGAGAAAGGGACAGGGACCCATGATTGAAAACACACCTCGTGCAGGAATGAGTGTGGGAGTGAGCAAATGCACGTGTGTAATTATGTGTGGGGACGATACGTGTCTGTGTAACACATGTATTTGAGTACCTGTGAGCACGTGTATGTGTGAGTATATAGGTACACGAGGCACAAGTGTGCATTGCTTATTAGCATGTGGAACTGTGTAGACTGAGGTACGTTAGGGGATTTCATACGGGCTTTTTACCCAGGTGAGTCTAGACGTGAGTAGATGGAAGGGCATATCTGTGTGGTGGATATGAATACTCAGGTTTGCATGCCCATCCACAGGACATGCATTGGGTGGCAGGCATTTTTTCATATACACACAGACTTGTCTGCACTATATGCAAATATCTGACCCAGTGATATCAAACAAAAATGATTTAGTACTGGCAATTAGATTAACCATTTTCAATCAAAAATGTGACAGATAAAAAAAAATATTTGAATGCTGGGTGGCTGTAGTGCATGCCTTTAATCCCAGCACTTGGGAGGCAGAGGCAGGCAGATCTCTGTGAGTTTGAGGCCAACGTGGTCTATAGTGTAAGTTCTAGGACAGTCAAGGCTACACAAAGAAACCCTGTCTCAAAACACAAATGGAAAAAAATCAACCCCTCCCCCCAGAAAAGAATATGCAATAAAGCTGGATGTGGTAGCACACACCTTTAATCTCAGCACTCAGGAAGCACAGACAGGTGGATCTCTGAGTTCGAGGTCAGCCAGTATACAAAGCAAATTCCAGGACAGCCAGGGTTACACAGAACCCTGCCTTGAAAAAACAAACAAAACAACACAATATACATATCAAATGAGACGCTCATCTCTGTGGAGGATTCCTGGGAGTCTGAAGCATACTCAAAGATCTGCCCTTTGTTGTTCAACTCTAAGATGGTCTTATAATAAAAAAAAAAAACCAACTTGGGGCCAGATATTGGGGTGAAAGCTGAAAGATCAGAGAAGCAGAGCAAGCCACAGCCACCACCTATTACTTCACCAAACTCCACAAATCCTCTGACTGAAATCCTGAGTCCTCACCCGAATGGGTCTCAGCTGAACTACTTTAGTTCCTGTGTCCTCGTGCCTTATATACCTTTCTCTGCCCAGATATCACTTCCTGGGATTAAAGGCATGTGCCACCAATGCCTGGCTCTGTTTTCAGTGTGGCCTTGAACTCAGAGATCCACGTGGATCTCTGCCTCCCAAGTGATAGGATTAAAAGTGTGTGCCACCACTGCCTGACCTCTGTGTCTAATCTAGTGGCTGGCTATGTCCTCTGATCCTCAGGCAAGCTTTATTAGGATACACAGTATATCACCACAGTCCTTTATATTTTTTGCTTCACAATTTCAATAGCACCAGTAATCCTGGAACTCTCTCTGTTCAAGTCTGGCCTTGAACTCAAGAGATCTGCCTGCCTCTGACTCCCCATGCTGGAATTATGTGCGCCACCACACCAGATCTAAAGCTGTTTTTATATCAGCGGCACAAGATTACTATATGATGGCAGTATGGAAGGGAAACATGACTTCTACCCATCCTTTTAACTGTTTCTGAGCCTCTCTGAGCCTTGATATAGCTGACCTCCAATGGATGCCATCTGTCCTCTGGATACTGGGGATGCTTTACTCAAATTCCCAAAGAGCCACAAATAGGAACAGCTACTCTTATGCCTGATCTATGGGAGAGCAGGGTAGCTCAGCTCCATAATCCTCAATGCCTAGATCAGATCCTAGGGAACAGAAGGCACTTAATAAATGCTTGCTGAATGGCCAGGGATATTTTATCTTTTGTCATTTCTCAAGGTTTTGTTTTTGTTTTTAGTTTTGTTACTCTTAAGTTTTCCCCTGCAAGATCAAAAGCATTTGCCCATATTTGTCTTGGTGTATTTGGTATTGTTTAATTAGTTGATTCATCTTGTATATATGGTGTAACAACTAAGGTGTAGCTGTATATTCGCCTCATGGTTAATCTGTGGGCACATACTTTAATCTTTCATCTGCAAACCAAAGTACTGTGTCAACTCAGTCTCTCTGTGATACTATGAAATTATTTATTATAGTTATAATGGTTATGTCACCACATGAAAAACACATTTAAATTTAAAATTTACTCCTAGAAATAGCTTCACAATACCAAAACAATGGCACTCTCAGTAGACACACGAACATAGAAGAGGGAAAATGTCACAGGGTCTCGCCTCTAGACACAGAACTATAGGCAACTAATGATTGCTAGGAGAGGGAGAATCAGCCTCTCCCAGGGATGAGCCCCCATACTGGTTATCCAATACCAAGTGGTCATTTCTGAAACCATACACACACACACACACACACACACACACACACACACACACACACACACACCATCTCATCACCCCGGCACCAAGGCTCAGGGAACATCTGGAAAAGGAGGCAGAAAGAGTGTAAAAGCAAGATAGGGGGTTGAGCCATGAAATGTTTCCCTCTTTCACAAATTACCCCAAGGCAGTTGTGGTTGCCTGCACAAGATCAGGCCAGGCAAGAATTCCAACAATGAGTGGGGAGGGCCTGCAGGGGCCCCACACCACCTTAAAAGCTACTGGCAGTTGATGGCTGCTGGGGCAGGAAGAGTCACTTTTCTTGAGAAGTGTAGCCACTGGTGAGTTCCCCGTGTGCCTCCGTGAATGATCCCACATCCATGTGCTCAGGCTAATAATCATCAGTAGGTCAAATAAATAATTATAGAAGAGGACATGAAACTGGACGGGAGATATAATGGGGTTGCTGAGGGGAGTTGGGGGATGAATTGATCAAGACACAGTGTATACATACATAAAATATTCAAACAATAAATTTAGAAAGAAAGCAAGGGTGAATGGGTGAAATGGTGGGGTGGGGGTTGAGGGACTTGCAGGTGATTTCAGGAAGCTGAGAATGGTGGAGGATGCCGGCTGGTAAGGAAAGAACTTTTACTGGAGGGTCCTAAAAAAATCACTGCTACAGAAAAAGCTAAGCAGGAGACTCGGCATGTGAAAGCCGTTTCTGGCGGCCCTGTATCCACATGAACAGCCCTCCATGGACTCCCACCCCTTTCCTTAGCCAAAGGAATCCAAGGCTTAAACATGCTCAGGTGAGTTCAGACGATCCAGGCATCTCTTCACAATGTGTGACAGGCATTGGAAGATGAGACGGGCAAGTGCTGGGTGCCACCGGACTTTAAGGAGCCTGCACCTGCGAGGCTAGCGAGGTCATGCCCCGAGGGTGGGCTACTCGTTGAGGCTCCCCTGCCTCATCAAAAGGGCACTTCGCGCTTCATGGTTTGGCTGCCCCAAGGTATTCACTGAAGTCCCCAAGGTGCTCTAAGAAGTGCACATACTCCTGGGCGAGCACACCCTAAGGGCACCTGGAACGCCTTCTCCAGGCACAGTACCAGGATGCCACTTGCCTAGGTTTGGGAACAAAACGCTGACTTCTTGCCTAACTCCCTTAGACAGCAGCTCGTGTTTCAGGCGCAGAAGTCCTGCCCCGGGGCAGTCTCCCACAGTGGGACTCTCCCGACTCCACCGGTCTGCGGGCTCACCTCTACTAGAGGCGCTTCTCGAAGACTTTCCAACTTTGCAGACGCTCACTGGTGAACACACGGCTTGACTGCGGCCCGCTCCGGGATCCCAACCCGGTGGAAAAGTGAGTGAGTCCCACCGGGCCTCCCCTCTGGAAGGCCCCCGCGGGGTGGGGGTTGCGGGGGACGGGGGCGGAGGGAGGCAAGTGCGCGCGCAAGCTGGAGAGCGGGCGGAGTCAAATTTTCTTCTCCTGCCCGCCCATACGTCACGAGTCTCAGCCCCGCCCAGGCAGTGGTGATTGGTGAGCAGCGCGCGCGAGCGCCCACGGCCCGCCCCCACTGCAGCAGTGCCCCGCCCACCGGTTGACAGGGATGCAAGTCTGGCCTGCAAGTTGGAACAAGAAGGTGAGGGCGCCGAAAGGCTCAGACCCTCCAAAACTGATGGCTGTTACCCCAGAGCCGGCAGCAGCCCAACGCCCCAAGTACTGGAGACCGGGCCCAAGTCTGCTCCCATAGGCCACTTTCCACCCTCAGCCCTCATCCACATCCTCCTTTCCGCCTCCAAGCGGCAGAGGTGCCCACAGCCCCTCGCCGAGGTGCCCACAGCCCCACGTGCCTAGAGGTCTAGCGTCAAAGTCGCACTGCTCCACACACCGATTCTCATCCCGAGTGCTTATGCAGACTGCACAGTGCGAGCCTGGTCTGCGGACCCTCCGCGCACCACTCGTCGCCTCCTCACTCCCGGGTCCAGCATCCCCTCGGCCTTACCTCACACCCTAGCTCTACATCACCCCAACTCCGTGCCCGAATCCTTCTGCAGCCTCGCTCCCCGCTTCCCCTGGCGGAACCCTCCATTCCCAGTTCAAGCGTCAGGACGTCCCTCGCCCGGAACCCACTAGCGACTGCAAACGTCTCCCACGGCGTCTGGCCTCGGGGTGAATAAACCTCCCTGGGCCTCAGCCGGTGATCCCGCTGCACCAGGGCCTCCACCGCGCGCGCCCCGCTCGTCCATTCCACGCTCCGCGGCCCAGCCCATCGCCGAGCCCGCTCCTTCTCCCAGGCTCCACTGCACCCTCCCACCTACTCCGAGGCCCCCTGTGCTCCGCGCGCGCCGCAGCCCTCGGCCCTAAGACCACACCCCGCGCGCTGTGCCCCCGACTCGGCCCCGCACCCCTCTCCGGGGCGGGCGGGCGGGCGGGCGGGCAGCGCCGGCGGCGGTGGAGGCTAGTCCTCGGGCCGGGACACACCCACCCGCCCGCCCTCCTCGCTTTTCCTCCCTCCCTCCTGCGCTCCCTCTCTCCCGCCCTCCCGCCCTAGCTCAGCGCTCGCTCCTTCCCTCCGTCGCCCGCTCGCGCTTCCCGCGGCGCCGGGCCTCCCGCTCCGCCTCCCCGAGCGCGGCTCTCCCGGGCGCGGCTCCGGGGTTCATGCTGACGAGGCGGCGGCCGCTCCAGCCCAGCGGCGGCGGCGGCTGCGGCGGCGGGAGCTGGGGCGCGGGCCCCGGCCTCCTCTCTCGGAGCGCGGGGCCGGGCGGCGGGCGCGCCCCGGCGGCGGCGGCGGCGGCGGCGGCGAGCGCCCCACCGCGCCGCGCCCCTGCGCGCCCCCTGCGCCGCGCCCCCGCGCGCCCCCCGCGCCTAGCTTGCGGGGGGCCGGGCCTGCGGGCGGCCGGCGCTGCGCGCACCCATGGACGGTCCGGCCATCATCACCCAGGTGACCAACCCCAAGGAGGACGAGGCCCGGTCGCCCGGCGCGGGCGAAAAAGGTGAGGAGGGGCACAGGCAGCTGCCGCGAGGGGTGTGAGTGCACCCGCGTCGCCGGAGTTCTCAGTGTGCGCCCGCACGGGCGTGGGGGAGGGGTGCACCGGGCCAAGAGGGTGCGTGGGTGTGGGGTGCGCCTGGAGCAGAGCGAGGCTGCGAGGGTGCTTGTGCCAGCTGAGCTCGTGTGAGTGTGCAGGAGCGGCCGAGAAGTTGGGATCGGGTGTGTGCACTGCACAGAGCTGTTCTAAGTGTGCATGCGGTGCGTGTGACAGGTTGTGAGTGCACCTACGTGTACGCAGGCCAGCTGGAAGATTGTAAGGGCGTGTGTGCCTCTAACAGATTGTGTGTGTTGCTGCTGATAGGCTGTGAGTTTGTGGTCTTCTGTGGAGGTCTGTATGCATCTGACTGAGAGGTGGAGTGTGTGCAGAGCCGGAGCCTGGGGACACTGGATGTGTATGTATGTTCACTCCTGATGGAGTTGGTGTGTGTGTGTGTGTGTGTGTGTGTGTGTGTGTGTGTGTGTGTGAGATTGTGTGCCTACGCTACCCAACTGGCAGAGTGAATGCACTGTTTCTCTCTACTGTAAGGATGTGTGTGTGTGTGTGTGTGTGTGTGTGTGTGTGTGTGTATCTGCCAACCAAGAACCTGTGGGTACATGAATGCACACATGCTTGTGCCTGCTTGTGCACAGCACAGTCAGGCCATGTCTTGAGAGTAGTTGGTTGTGCAAGTGGAAGAGCGGGGTGAAGAGGAGCGTGCTGACTGCACACGTACACTTGCACACTTCCTTCTTAGCTCTTATCTCAAATCCACCAACCAGCCAGTGAGGAACTCCAAGGCCTGGCATCTCAGGCCTCGGGTGGGTGGGTGGGTGGGTGCTAAGCAGCACTCTGGAAACTGTTAGAGCTGTCCCTCTGGGGAGCTGGTCAGGGGCCCAGCCGGCAATGCAGTGTTGTACCTGGTTTGTGGGGGCATATTCTGGCCCCAGTCCCTTTCTCTGTTTACTTTTTGGTCTTTTTTGGTGTGTTGACCCCTCGGAACTGCCTGGAGTCGCTGTGCGTCCTGCAGGTTGGACAGACTACTTTGAAGAGCTGACCAATCTGGCTTGGTTTGTTCTGGCGACTCACTCCGGCTTCACTGTCCCTCTGCCATGTGCAGCACAAACACCTGAATCTCCCTGCCCTCCCCAAGGACTTGCTTGCCCCCTCCACCCTCTGTGCCTGTGCAGTGAGCAAGGACTGCAGCCCTCCTGGGAAACTGGATGAGGAACAGTCCAGCGCCTCTCCCCAAGTAGGACCCCTGGGCAAGCCAGGAAGATGCAGAGCATCCCCAGAGGTCCCTCAGGTGGGGATCTGCCATCCCGTTTCACTCTGGACACTGTAAACACCGCCTGTGTAGACGCACTGGTTTTCTAAATGTAAAATAAAGACTTCAAACTCTCCCCCCAGAAGCCTTCTATGCCCTATAAATGAGTTTTTAAAACCCTGCAAGAGGGTATGGAGTGAATCCCACGCCTGCCTGGGCCTCAGTGGATCGCACCTCTGTGGCCCAGCCTTCTCACCATAAGGGCCAGTGTTCTTGGGGCCCTGGCTGGGTATGTCCCCTCAGGGAAGGTCCCTGAAGGAAACATCAGGAAAGCTTGGAGAGCCCAGTGCTCCTCTCTGCTGTGGACTGTATGAGAGTGAACCCTCAGCTCTTGTTGCAAGCGGTGTGGCAGGCAGCTGGGGACTGCTCAGCACCTGGGCCTCTTGCGCCCCTCACCCCAGGAGCAGGCATTTTGCAGACCCCCCCTGTCCTCTGGCTGCTGGGATTCCTGAAGCAGAGTCAGTCTGTAGAAAAGCCAGACCTTGTACGTGTTTCGTTTCTGGAGGTGCTTGCACTGTTCGCTGTTCGGCCTGTTGACATTGCTTTTCTGAACAGGCTTTTCATATCTTCAACAGCGGATTTTGTTTGTTTTCGGTGTCGGATTGGTTACTTGTTAACTGCTTCGGGGAATTCCTTGCCTGCTGTCCTAGGGTGGGGTGCCTGGCTAGTAAAACCATTAAAATCCCACTAACATGAGGGTTTTTTTTAACTCCAAAAAGTTAATATAATTTTGATCATATGTGGTATAACAAAATACTTGAGATTCAGTTTTTATTGTTTGCTTTTTAAAAATATTTTTGGCTTGGCTGGGCGGTGGTGGTGCACATCTTTAATCCCAGTGCTCAGGGCAGAGACGGGAGGCTCTCTATGAGTTCAAGGCCAGCTTGGTCTACAGAGCGAGTTCCAGAACAGCCAAGGCTTGTTCTTTGACAGCCCCACATATATGCATGTATCTTGATCATGCCCACCCCCAGCTCCCCCAGTCCCCTCCAGCGCATGCTCCTCCCACCTCGAGTCTATTTCTGAGAATCAAATTTTGAAACAGATTCTTTAGAATAATGAACCACCAAACAGGTTCAGCAGTGTCTCCAGCTTCAGCATGCTGATATCTTTAGATAGGCAGAACATGGTTTGCATAATTTAAGACAGACAGTCATTTTGTTATTAAATATTGGGCCTGCAATGTTTGGAAGTGTTTGTGGTATGAAAGTGATGGATGGCTTTAGAATGTTTGCTTTCGTGATTTATTCTATCAAATAGGAATGACAGTGACCAACTGCTCTTGGGTTTGGTGGGAGGGGCCCTGCCCTGTGTACCAGTGGACTGCTGCTCCACAACTTTAGTTTCAGTAGGTTTACAAAGGAAGTTTGATGTGCTGGCAGCGAGTTGAGTTACTTCTGGACACAGTACATGTGGTGGTGTACTCGGGGATGGCTGTCACCATCAGCTTAGCCTGCCACTCTGGGCTTATTCCTCCAGCTGTGTTTGACTGGACTGATAGTGTAGTGTAAGGCTACAAAGAACAATGTCCCATCAACCTCGCTGTTCCTACCATGCTGTCTCTTAGCACTTAGAAAAGCAGACAAGGGATAGGCATGAGAAAGCCTTGGGAGAAAAAAACTGAACGACTGGTCAGTCTGTGAACTACCCATTCCCAGGCCATTCTTGTTAAACATTTAAGTGACTTCCAATGTTCAAAGCTGACAGATGTTTGGAGGAAAACGGGTCCTCTCAGTAGACTTGGGAGAAAAAAAAAAAAAAAGTACAGATTTTGCTTGTCCTTAAGATTTATTTTTATTTCATGTGTATGGGTGTTTTGCATGTATGTCCATACACCATGTGTGTGCCTGGTACATGTGGAGGCCAGAAGAGGGTGTTTGATCCCCTGGAACTGGAGTGACAGATGATTGGTTGTGAGCCACCATGTAGGTGCTGGAACTGAACCCAGCCAGTGCTCTTAACTAGCCCCAGGAGTGCAAGCATTTTAAACAGTAACTTAATACTTAAAGCATGAGGAATGCTTTGGCTGCAAGTAACAGAAAACCAGGCTTCCTGCAGCCTAAGCCAGCTCCTCCTTTATGACAAGTGTCTGGAGGTTGGCTGCTGTGGCTGTCATCAAGCAGCTCTGATGTTAGAGCCAGCTTCACGGTGAGTCTCTTGGCTCCCCCACCCCCATGTTGCATCCTGGCTGCAACCCCTCTAGTCACCCTAGTTATCCTCAAGACAGGAAAAGAGACCGAGCAGGTCATGTTTATCCCTCTTACCTGGAAAGTCGACATTCCCAGGCACTGCTCAGTAAACTTTTGTTCATGTTTAATTGGCCAGAACTGGGTCATGTGGCCTCCCTTAGCCTCAAGCAAAACGGAGGAAACAGAGGGACCAGTGTGGGTGCGGCTGACCCCAGAGTTACCTGTGTTCTCCATGTCCCTGTCACAGAGGAGTCAGCTCCTCTGCACTCCAGAGACACAGTGCGATGATGTCGCTGCTGACCGCATGCACGGCTTGCAGTAACAACATTTCCAGACATCCTGTGTCAACAGGTGAATCAGGCTGGACAGTGGGACCTCAGTCCTGCAGAACAAATGCTACCAGGCCGTTGGAACAGTTAAATGACATCTGAACATAGACATGTGACTTTCTGAGACATTTCAAAGTGAGAAATCTCAAAAATGACATAACAGTATGATCCTATCTTGTTTAAAAAAATCAGATACACAGAACTGAACAAACGTCTAGAAATACACACACACAAAAATAATCTGGGAGGAGCAAACGCACAGGGATGATTCCCTCTGGGGCGAAGGCTGAGTGGTAAGTGAGGCAACTTCTGCTAGCTCTTTGGAAAGAAATCATTTGAAGGAATTGTACAATAACAAAACAAACTCCCAAAACCTTGATTAATATGCAGAAATATCCAGAACATTTCAATGCTAGCTAAGCAGCTAATTGTTTTGTGAGCTAATAGTTTTACAGGAGATTACTGCAGGCCAGTGTGTTTATGCAGATATTCAGGCCCAAAGTACTGAGTCTGCCTCTCATACATGTTTGTGGTGTGGCCTTAGTCATTTGTAAAATATAATTTAACATTTTTAAAATTTTATTTCACGTGTATGGGTGTTTTACCTACATGAATGTATGTGTGCCATGTGCATGCAGAGGCCAGAAGAGGGAGTCAGTTCCAGATGGGAGTTACACACAGTTGTACATTGCCATGTAGGTGCTGGGACTTGAACCCAATTCTCTGGAGGAGCAGCTTGTGGTCCTAACTGAGAGTTTCCGACCTTGGAGGTGCTGACAGAATTACAGCCAAGAAAAGGGTCTTATAGGCAGTAATCATTTCAGATGACGGGATAGATCGAAAGGAGGTTCACATTAACATTTTGTAGAGGGGATGTGAGACAGGGTCTCATGAACTTCAGGCTGCCCAGGAATTTTCTGGGTAGCCACAGTTAGCCTTTACCTCCTACGTGCTGGGATCGCAGTCATATATCAGTGTGCCCAGTTAATTAAGTTTTTAAAAGTAAACTTTTGTCATGGTTGTTGTTGTTGAGACGGGTTTTTCCCATGTAGCCCTGTCTGTGTAGACCAGGCTGGCCACAAGCTCAGAGATCCCTTACCTCTGCCTTCCCAGTGCTGGGAT